TAGTGGTTAAGTTCACGCCCTCTGCTTTGGCGGCCCTGGGGTTGGGGTTCCTCAGTTCGGATTCCAGGCGCAGACCTACACACCACTTATCAAGCCATGCCGTGGCAGGTGTCCCACGTATAAAGTAGAGGAGGATGGGCACGAATGTTAGCCCAGGGCCAATCATCTTAGGCACTCCCTGCAGTCAAGCCAATAGGAACTGGGAAAAGACACCCTGGGCAGAACCTGGACCTGCCATTGGAGAGAATGACTCCCACTCTGGGAATTTATGCTGGTCAGCTTCCACCAGGGGCACCTCACTGACCGTCTCAAGTTTACCCAGAGTGCCTGCCTTTTCTCTATTCTTTCTTCCTCTATTACCTCCCTCTCCTCTTTTCTTTTTGAGGGGGTCATAACCCTTTTAAGAGAAACATTGAGCAACAAATGTTTTTAACTTGACAGCCCTGTAAAGTTGGCACTATTATGGCAGATGAAGAAACTGGATTAGAGTGGTGAAAAGAATGGGCCAAGATCAGTTTGGAAGTTTCAAGAAAAACTGGAAGCAGAGGCCTTGGCTCCTACCGTAATGTAATACACACAGAAATATCCACATATTGAAGATGAAGCATTTATAATGACTTCAGGAGCCCCATCACATGCAAGGCAGAGGAATAAATGAAGTCCTGGAGGAACTTTACACTCCAGCTGGGGAGACATACATATGGCCAATAATGATGTGAGGTAGAAAGCACCAAGTGCCAGAAGTACATCCATTTATTCATTCAACAAATATCTTAGTATCTACCATTTGTAGCCTCCTCCAAGCACCCAAATCCCTAGATGGAATTCAGACAAATAATTCGGGCAGGAAGAGTTTTGTTTTTACACAAAGATGAATATAGATAAAAATGGTCGTTAATCCCAACATGCAAATAACCTCTGCTGATACTTAAAAAACGGACGATTTTGAGCTATGCCTTGAAGAATGGAAAGGACACCAATTAGGAGACACAATGAAGGGAAAAGACAGTTGGTCAATATAACTGAGGAAAACTAGCAAATAGCTGAGTGCAGGGAATGGAAGTGTGGGCGGAGTCCAAGACAACTCCAGTCTGGAGAGTGGGAGGATAAGGGCACTATTGATAGAAATAAAGAAAGTAGAATTTGGATATGAAAACCTGACATAAAGGATCTCTCCCTAAAGAGCATGTCACGAGGGGCTTTGGAATCAGGAAGACCTGGATTAAGTGTCACTGAAACAGACCACTACAAGAAACAGACCACTTCAAAGAAGGTATACAAAATAACCAGGAGCCAGTTCCCTCACTCCTTAAAGTGCTTGCAACTTCAAAGGGGAGTTGACTACATATATTAATTGACTTAAGGAACTTTATGCAGCAATGTATCGGTAAATTTAAAATGTCTGCGTATTTCATTGGAACTGAGAGGACCCAGTAAAGCAGGGATCAAGCAGGTGGGATGAGTCCAAATAGCTTCTAAGAGGTGAATTTCCAGTTACATATATTGAAAAAGGACAAGATTGGCAGGTAAGAATCTGGGCAAAAGAATAGTTAGATCTACAAAACAGAAAGTAGATTAGTGGGGGGCCAGCCCTGTGGCGTAGTGGTTAAGTTCACATGCTCCACTTCGGCAGCCCAAGGTTCACAGGTTCGAATCCTAGGTGTGGACTGACGCACTGCTCATCAAGCCATGCTGTGGCGGCATCCCACATACAAAATAGAAGAAGATGGGCACAGATGTTAGCTCAGAGCCAACCTTACTCAGCAAAAAGAGGAAGACCAGCAACAGATGTTAGCTCAGGGCCAATCTTCCTCACTAAAAAAAAAAAAGAAGAAAGTAAATTAGTGGTTGGTTAGGTTTTTTTTTTTTTTTTTTTTGTGAGGAGATCAGCCCTGTGCTAACATCCGCCAATCCTCCTCTTTTTTTGCTGAGGAAGACGGCCCTGGGCTAACATCTGTGCCCATCTTCCTCCACTTTATATGGGACGCCGCCACAGCATGGCTTGCCAAGCAGTGCGTCGGTGCGCGCCCGGGATCCGAACCAGCGAACCCCGGGCCGCCGCAGCGGAGCACGCGCACTTAACCGCTTGCGCCACCGGGCCGGCCCCTAGTGGTTGGTTAGGGATGGGAGGGATGGGGGGATGAGGGTGGGAGGTGACTGCTTAAATACTAGTGTGTTTCTTTTTGAAGTGAAAATGTTCTAAAATTCATTGTAGCGATGATGCACAACTGTGAAAATATACTAAAAACTGCTGAATGGCTGAATTGTATGGTATGTGAATTATGTCTCAATAAAGGTGTTACGAAAACAAAGAGAAAAAAAATCTGGGCAAAAACTCAAGGGTAGTTACTGGTGAGTTATTTTGGTGTGAACTTGCCTGGTGGGTGATAGTGGGTGGGCTGCACTGGTACTGAGAGAAGACTCTGGAGAGGCCATGGTAAAATGATATAGGCAGAAACACAGTCACCCAATAATTTGTCTTTCTTCTCATTGTGATACACCCCCTGAATGTTTAATACTGTGAGCTGAAAAGGAATCAGGAACAGATAATAAACAGAAGGGAGCCTCCTAGACAGGCAATTGGTTTGGCATAAATGGATGGGCACAGCTTTTGAATAGATGCTCAACTCGGATGTGGAAGAAACTAGGTTAACAGAGGAAAGACCCGGAGTAGAGAAGCAGGAAAGGAAAAGAAGTCTGAAGAGAAGGCAAGAGAGGGAGTGGCAAAAAGGAGTGGCTTTGTTTGCCTTTCTTAATAAACGGAGACTCTAGCAGAATGGCACTGGCTACCGGGTATCTCTACGCTGGCCACACCCCCTAAGCAAGCACTATGGACTTTTTAAAAAATTAAGGAGAAAAAGGGAGCTATTCGCATTTGTGCTTGTCCCGATAATAATACCAGCCCTCACAGACTGGGCATTTACCCTGTGTCAGGCACTGTCCTAAGAGCTTTATGTGTATACATTTATTTATTCCTCTCAACAACCCTACAAGAACCCTACAAGTACTATCATCACCACTTAAAATGAGGAAATTAAGGCACAGAGAGGTTAAGCAACATGCCCCAAATGGACAGTAAGTGGCAGAACCAGGACTTGAACCCCAGTGATCTCACTCCAGTTTGTGCTATTAACCACTACATCCCCAAACCCTCGAAATAAAAATGTTAGTACAGTAATGTCTAAACTCCACAGCTCCAGGTGTAATTCCAAAATGACTCCCTTTCTCTTCATTTACAAAATAAAATTCTTAACTATTCTAGCAATGCTGGGGACACCTGGTCTGTGACTAGTCATTATCTCCATGTCAGAGTTGAGGAAACTGAGCCTTAGAGAGGTTAAGAAAATTCCCCAAAGTCATATAGCTAGTGAATGACAGGGTCAGGATTTGAATCCATGACTTAACGTCCTTCAAGTTTATACTTGGAGGTAATTTTAAAAACACACACAGTTGTGTATTTATTTGGCGGTGGGAAAAAACAATTGAAATCCACTATTCTCTACTGTCTTGTCCTAAGAAACTAGATGTTTCTACAGTTAAAATATTTTTGCTAAATAACATTAGCTTTTGAACTTTTAGAATAAGCAGCAGAGAAAGTGGGGTGGTCTTTGTGAGTCATCTGTTTTAATAAAAAGAAATATAATTTGTACTGTATAATTACATCTGACTTGTTTTTACTGAACCCCGTTATACAGCACTGGTGGTAAGAGATATGGCTATGTTCTTTTTTTTTTGGCTGAGGAAGAGTCGCCCTGAGCTAACATCCATTGCCAATCTTCCTCTTTTTTCCTTTTTGCTTGAGAAAGATTAGCCCTGAGCTAACATCTGAGCCCATCTTCCTCTATTTTGTATGGGGGTAGCCACCACAGCATGGCTGACGAATGGTATAGGTCCACACCCAGGATCCGAACCTGCGAATCTGGGCCACTGAAGCAGAGCACGCCGAACTTAAACACTACACCCCAGGGCCGGCCCATGTGGCTATGCTTTTTTTCCTAGTCGAGTTTCTACTCTACTTGGCTTAATACATCCCAAGAGCTCTTCTTACTCTGGATTTGGCTCTTCCATTGCCTTCGTGGTATCCCATTGCTCATTTCACAACCAACCCCCCAAGCAGCCCAGGATATGCAAAGGGGTCCACAAAAAAAGGGCCCCACCTCAGCCTGGTAATTCATCCTAACACAAGGTAAAGAGGTTCTTCTAGACATTTTTCGCTTGGAGGGCCACAATTCAAATTTACAAAACTTGCCTGAGAATAAAGAAGGTTAACAAGGACACTACCCCAGTGATCCTGCTATGTATTCATTTGAAGAGTTACTATTCAAATCACAGGCTCTTGGCCTAGTCTCCTTTACTTGTACTTTGTTAAATACCCAGGGAAAAATAATGCAGTGCTCAGACAGAACACTTAGAAAGTGCACAAATTCTTCCTTTTAAGTCAAGCTCTGCTTACTGTAAGATATTTGGCACCACCCAGTGACGATCTTTTCTCATGTACCTGTGAATCAATAGCAACTTTGCAAACTCTTGTATTGAAAGAACACCTCAATCAAGGAATAGAGAATAGAATAATGTTGCAAATCAAATGAAAACAGTTTCATTTTTAAAAAGTTATCTACTTTGAAAAGTTCAGATCATTTTAAAGTTGTTTTCCTGACCTCCTGTCTCCTTAGAAATGAAGAGCTTAAGTAATTTAAAAAAACCTTTTTTTAAATTCTCCTTTTCTTCTCTGTATAACTGTATAAATATACTGGCTTTATTATAAAATTACATCTTAGAAGGAAAGGCCCCTTTGTAAGGGCATTGAATTTTTCTTATGGGAAAATAGGAAAGTGTCAATACATCGGTGTTTCTAAAAAGTGAAAGAGAAACTCAGGGCTCTTCCTAGAGAAGTCTTCCAATTGTTCAACTGTAAGTATTTCTTCTAAGAAAACAAACTGGAATACAGAATGGCTCTGTCCTACAGCAATCTAAAACACAACCTCTCTTAATGAACATACAGAAAATAGATGTCTTAACCAATGTGGAAGAAAAGCAAAATACTGGGTGTAGGATTTCTCAAATTATTTTTTTTTCAAACTGGATTCAGTAAGAACACAGAGGCTTTGGAGTCTCTTGGCTTGCTGCTTACATCAGTGATCCCTTTTGGGACCCCTGGAGGGCCTGTATTCCACTGGAAGGGTGTGATGCACCTGCTGCTACAGTAGGGAATTAATAAATGAGGAACCATACTTGCCACCCGAAGAATTCTTTAAAGTTTGAATATTTGAGTAACATAGACCAAGGCTGTGCTCTGATTTTCCATTTCTGAAAGTCACACTTTAAGTTAAAATTTTCTGTTCTGCAAATCTCCATATTTCAACAGATACTGTAGTGTAGAATTTAAATCATGATATCTTCTCAAAAGGAAGAGAAAAAACAGTTCTTCATAGGAGTCTTTTTTTTTCTTTTTTTTTTTGGTGTCTTAAATGTCAATGATCACAAAAACTTCTGGCTTCTCTTCATTATAGACCTGCATTGCTGAATATGTTATTGCCTTGACTTCAGTTCCCTAAAGTTGGTGTTAGAGAAAAAACAAATAGGAAAAAAAGGACATTGAAATCAGAATCATTAACTCTAGCAACAATTGGCAGAAAGTCAAAATGTTAATATTATTCTGAAAAACTAAAAACTCACATAAAACAACTGGTTATCAAATTAGTATAGTATTATACACTGATCCAATAGAAACGAGCAGCAACATGAGCACAGTAGAAAGAGCACTGACCTGGAGTTAGGAGATGAACTCTAATCCCAGCTTTGTTTCCACTTGGATATGGAAGCTGCCTGACCTCTCTTTCATTTATCAAGTGGGTTGAATCAAAGAATACAAAGCTTTCCTACTGTTTGGCTCTGGGCTCCTTCTCAAGACTCTCTCCTTGCAGTCTAACCCGGGCCCTAGGAACTCGGCCTATTCTCTTCTCCTCGCTGCCAATATTCACTTTACCTTGTGGGGCTCTTCTCTCCCCATAGGTTTATGATATATGACACTCCCCACTACCCAACCCCAGTATAGAACCACAGGATTAGATGTTCTCTTAGTTCCTTCCAGTTCTAGAAAAGAATCTACGATAATTCTGTGCACCACAAAATCTATCAGAGAATAGGTGATTGGCATTTGCTGGCTCTATAGCACAAAAGAAATCTGAAGATTTCACAGACGGATTTGAATGGCGCCTACCTTTGCTTGTCCCCCCTCTGCTATAATCACCTGGCAAAACTACAACCTAAATCAAATTCAACTCTCTGCCAGTGGCGGCACACATCATGCTAGCTGGCATCACCTTAAATGTATGTCCACAAATCTCAAAAGGCTACTCAGCACTGACCACTAATCCTACATTTACCACTAAATTCGCTTTCTCACTGTCTGAGGCAATTATTTCACATCTTCACCTCTAGCATCCTTCCCTCATTCTCATTCTCATTCTCAATCAACCATGCTTCCTAGAGAAAACAAGAGCAATCAGTAAGAACTGACTCCTCTTCCCCCCATCAAATCTACCCTCCGACTGTATCTGTACTCCCATTAGCCTTTCCTCCTGTTACAATGAATGGCCCGTCCCTGTTCCTATCAGAAGGCAGACTTCTCCACTTCAACATTCTATCCCACACCACTTCAACACTCTATCCCATACCCATCCTTACCAACTTAAGGTCTTTGCTCTGAAATTATTCTCTCCCTCTCCAGCATGATCAATTTTTCCCGATTTCTAGATCATTTCCACTTAGCATACAATGGTGCTACAAAATCTCAGTTAAAACAAGACAAAACTCTTCTCCCTGACCAGACACAGTCCCCACTAGCTATTACTGTTCTATCCATGTTCCCCTTTTCTGCAAACTCTTCTAAAGAATTGTCTCAATATACTGCCTCTACTCTCCCACCTCTCATTCCTTCTCTAACCCACCCCAAATATTTACACACATCTTTCCACGATTAGTAAATCCATGGTCAAGACTCAACCCTTATCTTAACCTCTGAGCAGTCTCAAGAGCATTAGCTATCTGGCCTCTAAGGAACCCCTCTTCTTTCGCCCCCTCTCACTAGGCTCTCCTCCTTCTTTTCCTTTATGGCTCCTTCTCTTTCAAACTTAGTGCCCCAGGGTTCAGTCCTCTCTACTACTGTCTCTTATTTACACTCCCTCCTTGGTGATCTTATCTAGCCACATGGCTATAAATATCATCTATTCAGTGATGACTCCTAAATTCATATTTCCAGACACACTTATCCTCTGAACGACAGTCATCATACACACAAATGCCTATTATCTGACATCTCCATTTAGATGTCTAATAGGCATCTCAAACATAGTAAGTTAAGAAGAAAATTCCACTGTCATTTGTGTAATAAAAATAATTGGTTTTCTATTCACACTCCCCCCTCTACCGGTTTCTCTTCTTTTTAAGTTTCTCTCCCCTGAGGCTCCCTCACCAGGCTTCATTTCATTATATTGTGGTTGAAGAAATGACACTGCAGCCACTGGAAGCAACCAGGATTTCCCAGTCACCTCCAACTAATTTGGGTCTCCTTGGGTCAGCAACACTACACATCAGGGGCCAAATCCGGCCTGCCACCTATTTTTGTACAGCCCCACAAACTAAGAAGGGTTTTCACATTTCTAAATGGTTAAAAAAAATAATAACATTTGAAAATGATACAAAATTCAAATTTCGATATCCATGAATAAAGTGTTACGGGAACACAGTCACATTCATCCGTTGACGTACTGTCCACGGCTGCTTTAGCGCTGTAGCAGAAGAGCTGAGCAGCTGCCCTTCCATCACTCTCTGCCCCAAAGCTTAAACCTTTACCTAGCCCTTTACAGGAAAAATCTGCCTACCCTATTCCAACAGAGTTGACTAGTAGAGAGTGAAGCCTTACAGGCTGGCAGATTCAGAATCTGGAGCAGCACAGAAGGTAGCAGGTACTTTAGAGAACATCTAGTCCAACACTTCATTACAGGAGAAGACACCAAAGCTGGAAAAGGCAAAGGGACTTTTAAGCCCCATGACAATCCTTAACACGACCGCCCCTGGAACCCAGGGCTGACTCCTCATCCACCAGATCAGATGTGTGAGACCACTGGGTTTTAACATGAGTCCAGACAGGTGAGAGAAGTCTGAGAAAACTAACCACTTTACACCAATTATTAGAACTCACTGAAGTTTACTGTTACATATACTGACTTTATGGTAAAGAGGTATAAAATGTTTTTAATGGCTGGATTAAAACCTTACCTGAGGGTGTTTGGACAATGAGAATTCTTCTCCCCACCTTGAAAAGTAAAATTAAAACATGATTAAGATTTCCAAGATTTAATATTTATTCTCTCTTCATATATTTTAAAGATTTTATTTATTTATTTATTTTCCCCCCAAAGCCCCAGTAGATAGTTGTATGTCATAGCTGCACATCCTTCTAGTTGCTGTATGTGGGACGCAGCCTCAGCATGGCCAGAGAAGCAGTGCGTCAGTGCGCGCCCGGGATCCGAACCCGGGCCGCCAGCAGCGGAGCACACGCACTTAACGGCTAAGCCACGAGGCCGGCCCTCTCTTTATATATTTTAAAATAAGCGTTATAAAAGTGGTCAAGATACTAGAAAGCCAAAAGAGATGGGAGGGGTAAGGAAGCTATAAATTTCAGTTTGACTGCCAGCAGATACAGCTGTTGAAAGACATGTGCAACAGCCATTCTTACAACGTTGATAGTTGCTCTAAAAAAAAAAGTGCCCTAGTATAGTGTGCATATGGTAGATTCTCAATAAACAATACTTAATAAATATCATTTCATAACAGAGTAGCATGTTCAAAATGTTCACTGTACTCAGGGCTATAGAACTTATTAAATAATATCTCCTATTGGAGAAAGCAGGTCTGAGGACCATAGAGGAAAAATACTAGATTCTGCAATATGGTCTGAACTGGACTTGTATTTTATAACTTAAAAAAAATGTCCCTGGTCTGCATATAGAAGGCCCTAGAAAGATACTCTCCTAGCACTTGGGATGAGCATCCTGTCTGCCTTCAACACTAATGTGGCTGAAGATCACAGAGCAGAAGCAGTAGCAGTAGTAGAAAGAGCAAAGTTTTAGAATTCTGTTCGACCATTTATTAGCTAAGCACCCTTGGATAAGCCTGTTTCCTTACCTATAAAAAAAAAGGAGGGGCAGATAATGAAAGACCTCACTTTACAAAAAGAAACAAATAAAATTCAACATAAAATGGAAAAAATAGTTCTACATAGAAATAACCTAAAAGATATCACTAAGTGACTGAAGAAATTTGTGGAAGACAAAGTCCAATCAAAGTGAGCTAATGAAATGTTCGCAAACTCTGGAAGGAAAAGTACACTTTGTTGACAGAAGGAACTGGTTTGAATGGAGTCCAGGTGTGAGGATCTATGAGAAACGATGCATCAGTGTTTCCCATCGCCAAGCTAGGCTTTATGGAAATATCTGTGCCATCTAGCAATTATATATCTTTTTGTGTTAAAAATCACCATATTGGAAATCAGGTTTCGGAACCCAAATCAACTTTGTTCTGACAAGTTTCTGGTCCTCCAAAGCTGAGGTGAGCCCTTGTTCCTAGGTGCCTCACAAAGCTTAACCTGCAAAGCCCCATGGGATGCAATTGGTCCTCCGACTTAACATTTCTGTCTTCCTGCTCACTAAGTTCAGTGAAGAATACAACTTTAACATCTTTCATGACTTGCTACTTAAAAGATTTTCAAAACTTACCCAATGGATCGTAATTTGAAATTTCTTTGATCGATATTAAGTACTTTCACTTCCTAAAGAGGAAAAGAATTTTTTTTTAATTTAAAAAAATGTTCATAACAGACCATCTACTAAAACATGCCTAGGTTACCACCTTTTCTACAAAATAATACAACTTCTCTGAAGCAAAGAAAATTAAAATGTCAACTAAAATAGAACAACAAACTAAATATATTTCAAGGAAATAAGGTTTTTCTTACATATTCAAGGGAGGTATTCTTGAAAAATGTACAATCTAAAAACATGAGTCAAAACAATTCCTCTGTCAGATAAATAGAGTAGAATGATACAGGATTTCAATCACTGTCAGCCTATTTTTATGTAATATTGTAGGCACTTGAACTTTGTAGGATGAAAGACCCAGTTGGAGGAGCAGCTGTAGAGGAGACAGTAAGGGAGAGAACGGAGTAACTACGGAAGCAGGGAGGGCCATGTGTGTTAGATAACAATGATGTTGGAGAGATGTTCCTTTCTAGAGGTTGATGGCAACAAGCAATCTCCATTTGGCTTTTCCTTTTTCACGTCAAAGAAAACTAAAAGCAGCAATTTTTTAACTTAGGCCAACATGGCAGAGCTGCTAAATTTCAAAGGGGACAAAAGGAACATATGGATGGACAGAAATATAGCTTAAACTTGGGAGACATAAAAAGTGCGGATGAAGACAGTAGGTGCATTCCTATGACACAATACTGATTAGTGACAAGTATATAACAAGAGATCTAAATACAAAATGCATATACACAGGGAAACTCAGGTTAACCAAGAAGCGCCTATGGTCATTATAATTTCTGCAAATCAGTATCATCTAACATATCTGTATGGCTTGGTTTTGCATTGCATGTTCTATTTGAAATCACTTGTTCTATTTTAAAATATGAACTAAAAAGAACCCATTTGCTCAGTAAAAAACAAAACAAAACCCTTGCTTACCCTGGGTATGAAGTATTCATCAGCACTAAACTTATAAAGCCACTCATCCAAAAAGTGAAACAGAAGAGATTGTAAGTCATCTCCTACAGAGGATCAAAAAGAACCATGATAGCATGATGTTTAATAATTCTCATCTCTAAAAACTTGTTTGAATTTAAAAGTGCAATGAATTTCTTAGACTAGTTGAAAGAGGAATAGGCTCATAATCAATTTTGCTGTTCTTATGGTGAAAATATACTGAAATTATGTAGAATATTGCACATTTGTATAACAATTTCTTCCCTGTGAATAAACTGGTTACCTTGGGTTTCTACTTCTACTGTTTGCAGGGGCTCCACTGTCCCAGTATCTGTCATGTAACCAAACATGGCCATTGCACATTGCTCAAATGCTTCCTCCAGAGTCTCTCCCCAGGCGTGTAACCTAAAGAAATACATTCATGCCCCGTGTAATATAAACCAATGCAAGAGAGAGAACTTGACAGCAAAGTCAAAATAAAATCAATACGATAAATACAAAACCACAGGCCTCAATAAATTAAATGGCACAGAAACTGGATGCTTTTAATCCATCATTCTCATGTTCTAAGGACCCAAAACAGGAGGAAAAAAATTAAAACTAAGAACATCAAGATTAAAACATCAGCCCTCCTATTTAAGCACATGGTTTCATAGGCATAAACTCCCGCTATACTCACTGGACATCCGCTGTATGATCCAAATCTAAGGGAGAGAGGGAAAAACACTTATAAGTCACTACATTTGACTTGCAAGTCACAGGAAAATAACTCTAGTTCATTATTAAGAACATCATCCGGGCCAGCCCCATGGCTTAGTGGTTAAGTGAGCGCGCTCCACTACTGGCAGCCCGGGTTCGGATCCCGGGCGCGTACCGACGCACGGCTTCTCCGGCCGTGCTGAGGCCACGTCCCACATACAGCAACTGGAAGGATATGCAACTATGACATACAACTATCTACTGGGGCTTTGGGAAAAAAAAAAAAAAAAGGAGGAGGATTGGCAATAGATGTTAGCACAGAGCCGGTCTTCCTCAGCAAAAAGAGGAGGATTAGCATGGATGTTAGCTCAGGGCTGAT